AGCGCCGAGACTGGGTGCTTGTGCGCCGCCCCGTGCCCCGCAGAGGCCCCCTCACCCGCCATCACCCCTTGACGACAGTCCGTTCGTTAATGATAGCTCTAAAGGAGCCTCTGAGGATAAAATACCGCTTCTTGTTATTTTTAAGGCGCTATCTAACCCAGGAGGATTTTCTGCAGCACGGTCAGCGGCAGAGGGAGCTCAAGGCGAGCTTTTGGGGGCTGCTCCGAGAGCTGCTGGAGTCTGGTTGCGGGGAGACGCGTGGGTGATTCACCCGTGGCAGGAGCTTTTCTGTGTTTCCCTCCCCGAGAGAGATAAAATCTTTAAGAGGGATGCTGAGAACATGGGGAATTTCTGGACTAAAATAGAAAGTCTCCCCTTCAGGTTTGTTCCAGATTCAGGGTAAAAGGAAATACAAACAAGTACCTAGTACAGGTAACAGCAGTAAGGGACAAGCTAAATATGGTTGGTAAGACAGTTTTACGTATTCGGGAAATAATTAAGTATGGACAGAAATTAAGCTGGACGATGAGTAGCAACATTAGAATAATTTCCTTGTGGTTCCAAAAAATTTTGCCTGCGCAGATCATTCGCTGCACGTTTGATGCTGTGGACCTCGGGGGTATCTGGGGAGTTGTTTTCGGCAGAGATTACGCCTGTGGAGCGCCTTCAGGGTGAGGGCTGTATTAGAGAAGACTGTGGAAATACTGGAGTCTAGTTTTCCCCGTCCAGGGTTCTGTAAGCAGCAAGGTGTGAAAGCAGTGCTGAGGTTTCCAAGTAAGAGCCTGTGCATCAGGTGGAGGAGGAGGGACTGGAGGCTGGGAGGCCTCTGATTTGGGGCTATGAACCGCACGCAGACCAAATACCAGGGCCATGGACGAACCAGCTTCCTAAAGAATGCGCTTCCGTTTAAAATAAAAATGAAAAACAGTTCTTCCCATTTAGCACGGCATGGACAGAAGCCTGACTCCGGAGCCTCGCTGCCACTGAGAGCACCATGACTGATGCTCCTTCAGCGTTGATAATCTCATAGCATGGTTGGTGCGGTAGCAGTATTGCAAGCTCTCCTGTGGCATCATCATTTTCTCGATCGTTGATCTACTTCCTTAAAACCCCAATTTCAGGGGTCAGGGGATTAAAATAAAAACACTGCTTTTCTTTTTTAATAAAATTAGATTTCCATCTCTCAGTTAGGGGAGAAAAGTCTAGAAACATGACCCAAAGTTCATAAAGCCAGAAATAAAAAAGAAGCGCTGAAAATATTCCGGTTTTTAAATGCATGACTTGCATATTTTCATTATATTTTGGTGTTTAGCTCATGACAATGACGTTTTAAAACCCCTCAGAATCCAGTTCTGATCCCTCGATAATTATTCATCAGCATGAAATAGAAGAATTGCCAACGCAATGCAGAAAAGGTTGAATGCTCAGTAAACAATCCAGTTCTGTAGTGGGCAAAGAGCAGGATGAAGTATGCACATCTCGGAGAGGGGATGAAATACTTTAAATTCCCAAAATAACAGAGAAGGGTGGTAAACAGAATCTCTTGAGAGATTTCAAATCAGTAAGTATGGCTCATTTATATCTGACAGTCTTCAAAGAGACAGCCAGGAAAAATAATTTGATTTTCAGTAAGTCTTGGGATAACAGCAATATGGAGAGAAGTGGGGAAAAAATCAATTCTCTGCCAATATTAAAAGCAGGTAGATCAAATGACCTGGCACTGATAGATCTTTCAGCCTGGCTTTGCTCCCAGACAAAATGAGAGCAGAGTAGATACAGGCTTCAATTAATAAAATATTAAGGAAGCCTAGTGATGATAATCATAATTAGTGCCAATCAACATGGGATTATGGAACATAATTCCCGTCAAACTAATTTATATTTCTAAGACAAGATCAGGAGTTTCATTGATAAAATGAAGGTATTTCGTTCCTTCTGTAAGCAACTGTCTGGCTAGAAAATCACATTTGATTAAAAAGGTAGAAGAATATAAAATCAGTCTGTTCACCTCACTCGGGTGAAAACCCAGCACGCTAGTCTTAAAGTAACTGTAAAAGGGGAACCACCCTTAAGCAATTAATTTCCAGAGGGGTTCTGCAGGGATTGGGTGTTGTCTTATGCTGTGTACTGCTGTGTTGCACTGGGTTTTTTTGAGCAATGCCGCAGATAAAATCCTTACTGATAAAGTCTGACTCAGAGATTGGAGGAGCTGTCAGTTATGGGAACTGCTGTCTAGCACTGAACAAACTGTAACACCAGTGAGTGGAGGTGAGTGAGCAATGGGCATTCCCATACATCCCATACATCCCATACATCAGTCTCAGAACAAAGGGCTGCAGGCCAGTGCTCTTCAGCCCTTGCTACATGCAGGACCATGCAAAATCTTTACAAAATCCTTGGTCTATCCTGTAGCCCCACTGATGGCTACCGAGAGACACCGGCCACCTGAATAGGAAACGTGTGTACATGCCAAAAAAACTGACAACCATTTCATGACTAGTTTCTCGTGCCTTACAAATCACAGCTGTCCTGACTGCAGTGAGCAATACCAGGGTTAGAGCACCAGGGACTCTATTCTGTAAAAGGGTAACTCCACAAAACCTGGGGCAGCAGTAGGGAGAGGTCAGCTGCAGGTGATTGTGCTATGTGGCTCTGTGGCTAAAAGGAATAACAAGATCCTTGGATCTATAAATGAGAAATATGTTGGGTAGGAAACATTGCTTGAGCTCTTTATTTGGCTCCTGTGCTAGTAGCCACAACTCCAGAAGGAAGAGGGGAGAGACATGACGTGAGTAAAGGACTGTGAAGTCCACCTCATCATGCCTAGTAGAGGGGCTCAACTGCCCAGGTTCTCAAAGAGAAGATAAGGGGTGACTCAATCACAGGCAGTCAGGGCTGGATCTAAAAAAGGGTCTAAGTGCCCAAAAGGGGATTTTAGCACACTTTAGGCATCAACATTTTGATCTAAAAAGAAACTGTTCAGCAGCTGGCCTGGAGGCAATTAAACTGATCAGGTATCCCCTGTTAGACCTCAGACGTCCTGCTGCTACCCGCACTTCTGCCCACGTCCGTCCTGACTATGGATCTTGGCTGTTTGTCCCTGCCTCAGGCGGATCAGGATCCTGAACCCTGGTAGAGGGACAACCCTGGGGATGTGCCTGCACTCTGGTGCCTGGCTTTGCCCCAGGATGGGCTTCACGCAGTCCCACTTTGTACCCACACTCCTGGCCCTGCTGGCTTTCCCCTGGCACATTGGGTTCCCAGTTAGAGGCAGGCACTTAACTTGTACATACTTGGATCTAGCCGCAAGTAGGGAAAAAGAAATTTGGCAGCAAAGGGCTCTTCTCTCTCACAGAGCAAGGCATGGTGAAATTAAAAGGCTGGAGGAGGGGACTTGACAAATTCAGACTTCGGGCAAAAAGCAACAATATTTAACAATGTAGGTAACTAAGCAGTGGAAGATCACGCTAAGGTCTGTGGTTGATTCTTCATCGCTGAATATTTTATACCAAGGTGTGTTTTCCTCAAAGAGATCCTCCAGTTCAAATGGGAATTAATTAGGTCAAGGGAGTTCTCTGACCTGAGGTAGGTAGAAGATCACGCAGATAATCCACATACTCCCTCTGGCCTTGTGACTAATTCACTTTGGTACTTTACAATACTTTTGGTATTCCTGATGTAAGGGAGATCAGCTTGGACCTGTGCTTGCCCTCAGGAACTTAACAAGCTAATTATATTTGTTGTGTCAACCCATTAGGTTCTCATAGGCTGCATGCAGACTTGTTAGTTAGCCTGAATGATGTCTTTGCTCTTTGAACTTTATCAAAATATCCAGACCTAGCATGTTTCATGGTCTGCCACCATTACTCCCTCTCTGTACACAGACTTTGGCGGTTATTCCTGGCTAACAAACCGCAGACTTAATACACATGCTGGTTTCAGTTATTTCATAGAAGATTGAAACAATGGTGGCTAGTGTCATTCTGGTCTTCTAAATTTATTTTACTTTTGATGAAATCCTTTATTGTTAGATTTTTAAAAAATACATATTTGTTTCAGGCCTCAGAAATTAACTTTGTTTTAAAAAAACTGGCAGCCCGGATTCCTGTAGATGTGTAGCAGCTCAGAGATGGACACCTTGCAGGCTCCAGGGGTCCCTGGACCTGCAAGGCCTGCAGAGTTTCACTGGTCCCTGGTCTCTGCTGGTGAGCAGGACATTCACGGAAAGTGTGACATGATGGAGAAGTATAAAAATAATGGCAAATACATAAAGCACCAGGATTTAGTGCAAATGGGCTCCTTGCTTGGAGCCAGCCCTGGACTGCTCCAGACTTTCCTGGGACAGAGGTAGGCGGTCAGGCTCGTGCTGTGAAAACCCTAGGCCTCTGCAATTCACTTGCGTCTGGAGTAGGCTGGCTCATTTCTTCCCTTCCCACTTCAAGAACAAACAAACAAATCACAGCTAGAAACTCGTTTGGGAAACAAACTTGCCTTGGGAGAGTTTCAAAATGCCACCGCTGACTTCCAGGTGCAGCGACGGTTGATCGTGCCTGGGGAGACGTGCGTCCATTCGGTGCCATCTTTGCGTCTCCATCCCAGGCTGCTCTGGTGGGAGGAGCCCAGCGTACCATGGCAGCCGCTCTCTTCATTCATGGATAAACTCCAGTTTGCATTCCCACTCCAGTGGCAGTGTGCTTAATGGACGAACAAAAGTTTTTATGACTGTTTTTCCGCACCTATGTATTTTTGCTGGAAGGAGGGAGAAGGAGGAGAGCAAGGTGGGGAGATTTTTCATTAACAAAATGGTTATTATTTGCTGACAAGATCACCGAGTATCTTATGGAGAGGGAATTTGGTCTCCTTCCAAGTAACTAAAGAGGAATTGGCACTGCAGCATACGTGTGAGGCATGCGTATTCCAGGAAAACAAAGAGCTTTTACAGGCCCACTGCCTGGGGACTCCAACATCTGTGAGGAAACAACATTAGCAATCACACAGTGTCCATGTTCCTTAAGATGACTTGATTATTTTAACTCAGGGCCAGGGCACAAAAATACCCTCCCATTAGATCAGCTTCACGTGAACTCGGCCTCGTGGCAGCCCCTCTTGGCTGCTCCAGATATCCCCAGATATCCTTCAGATACCCCAGACATCCTTCAGATATTCAGATACAGCCCAGACAGGGAGCCACCACTGCCACCACGCTGCAGACCTGGGCGAAGCGGTCTGGGGCCGATGGGGGTAGGCTCGTAGGGCTGAATTTTAGGGGCAGCCAGTTCACAGAACTGGCAATATTTTGTCGCTGGTTCCTCCCCTGTGGTTCCAATGACTCTGAGAGCACGTAGGAAAGAGCGTAAACCAGCCCGCAGGGTCTCAAGCCATGGTTGGCTGGCTCAAGCTAAAAAGGAGTCATTTCTTGCGGGGAAAAGGCGGCGAGCACCGAACACGGCAGCCTCGGGGAGCCGCGCGCGCGGCCCGGGTTCTGGGGCACCGCGGGGGCAGGGAGCGAGGGCGAGCGCAGCCCAGCCACCGCTCAGCCCGCCCAAAGGAGAGGAGGAGACGTTTCACTCATTCAATTTAACAGCTTCCAAAGCTAGCCTTAAAACAGGGGTGTAGAACAGGCGGGAGGAAAAGCACTACTTACATAAGACTTTGGCAGTGAAATGGGTCAGCCGTTCTTGAGGGAGGAGAAGAGGAATGCAGTTTTTAAGAAATAAACACTATCGCTGTACTTCGTAATAGCTGCATAGTCCTGTTCTCCCGGAGAGTAACAGGGAAGTTTATGATGGGTTTATATGTTTTGTGTCTCGGCCCCACTCTCCCTCCTCTGAAAACAGCTCTGTGAAATGGAACATTCCCACTATTGTCCTTAAAATAATCTGTAATTCCTTCACCATAACGCAAAGGGAGGGGCCCAGCTGTAGCTTTTTTCTCTGCCACGAATGTCCTTGTTTGTGGTAACTAGCAAATCTCATGGTCCGGTTCCGCAGAGAAGTTACACAACGGCAAACCTTCGGAGGTTTCAGTTTAATAGCAAGCTCTGCTGAATACACTCCTTTTCACTTCTCGGTTCAGATTTTCAGCTCTTTTGGCGTTACAGCTGATTTGCCGTACTTTTACGTATAAACCAGATGAAACAGCAAAATAAACACTGAGCGCAAAAGCTGCGTTCGTTCCTCCTTGCAGAACTTACTGAAATGATCCTGGCTGTACTAAATGTGAGATAAAACTCCCACGGGGAGCATTAGCCTCAGTGATTCATACAAACACTTTAACAAGTCAGTCGTGGTTGAGCTTCACAGTCAAATTAAGGTGGGTAATGGAGTGCAACCAGCAGAGTCCCTCTCCTTTAGAGAGCACCACTGATAGAAATGTAACCGTCGCTTATTTTTACTCCGAAACAGCAGGATGAATTTTGGGTAACAGCAGATAAATCAGGATTGGGTAACTCTTCCATGCAAGAAATTGCAAGTGTATTTTCTGTGGAACTGCCTAGTGCAGTGAAATGTTCTTCATCTGAGTCCTTAATGTGGGCCATCTGGAAGGGAAAATCTAATCATCCTCTAAAAATGCAGCCAGGTTTATTATCACTTTCTTTTGCAGTTGACTTTTAAGGGAGATAATCTTATCAGGAGGAAGTCTGAAGGAAAGGCGAGTTACAGGTATGTGCATTTAATGTGTGTTGATAAAGGTACAGATGAAGTTGCTTTTTTCCCCTCCAGTCTTCACTATCTGTTTTTCAGGAGCTATTGCTCAAATCCATCCTTCCTGTTAGCTTTTTGCCTCCATCCACACTCCTCTGCATTAGGCCTGATTCTGATCTCAGCGTGCCCCAGGCACAGCTGCAGGGCTGTATAAATGAGGGGGGCCTATACAATAGTTCTGAACTCTTTTCCTCTATAATCTGAAAGCTGTCATGGGCTAGAGTGCACACCTGCGCAACATCTTTTATTAATTAATTCCATCGGACAGTTCTTTTCTCTGTTTGCTTTGGGCCCTGGCCTGCCCCGCTTGTCAGACAGCTCCAGTATCACGTCAGCTTTGCCAACTCTATAAGCAGCAATAGCTTTGAGCCATGGCGGTGATGCTAATAGAGCCGTACCAAGCTACTGAGGACATAGATCTGGGTTGCCAAGTTTCTGCAGCACTCCCAGAAGTGAAGTGGGGGAGCTGTTTTATCATATTTTTCAGAATTCTTTTTATTTTCTTTTTGTTTTTTAAGAAAAAAAAAAAGAAAGAAAAAGGTACTGTGCAGGCACACTGTGAACAATCTGTGCTGTTCACTCGCATTCAGCTGCGTGTTCCCGGCGGCGGTCGCTCAGCATTTTCCTCGCTGAGAGGCTCATACCAAAGCCCTGTCTGCGTACTGGGGCGGACCAGCAGCAGAGATCTGTTCCCCTGAAATCCTGGCGACAGCTATCCCGTGCCCACTCTGTGCCACAGCTTGGTGTGCCACAAGGGTGCCTGCCACGTGTGTCCTCTGCCCGCTGCCTCCGAGGTAATTCCTTTGCAGTTTTGCAGCTCCCACGTTGACAGACTTTAGTCTAGTGCATGGAGGGGCGATCCCTACGCTCCCAGACCCGTGAAGCAAAATCTCTATTAGCTTCAGTGAATTTAGACTGAATAAGGGCGATGTGATTTTGGCCAACGAGTTTGGCAAGGACTGCTCCACAGAGGCGTTATTGCTAAGGAACCTCCCACGTGCGTGGGCCCTCAGGAGCAGGGCAGAGGCTGCTGGAGAGTCACGCCGGGTGTTTACTTATCCCGGGAAGCAGGAGTTTGGACCCAAGCCCGGGTCCCGGGGTCAGTGCACTGCAATACTTCAGCCTCTCTAACATGTGTCTTTTCCCCTATTTTGTGCTGCCTATCGTTTCAAGCAACCTCTTTAACAAGCCCTGCAGTGTTTACTGGGGAATTAAATGTGATTGTGAGGGGGGAGGTTAAGTTGTGAGAAACACTAAAGAAACTTCCAGTGCAGTCTGTGAATATTTCTTTTCAGGTGAGCATGACGATGCCCTGGTTGCTGCTGCTCCTTCTCCTGGTCAGCTTAGGCTCGCCTGCACCTAGGTTTTCGGTGCGTATCCCTTGGCTAGAGTCTGTTTAACCCCTCTGCAGCGTGCCAGCAGCTTAGCATTTCTGTTCGTGTAGGGCTAGGTGCCTCCCCACAAAAGTCACCTGAGTCCACAAGAGAAGAGCAAAAAGGTGTCTGTCTGCAGCTGAAGGAAGGTTATTCTTGCTATCCTGAGAGTATAGGGCTTCCACAGCATTAGGGTCTGGGCAACTCTGCAGTTGGCTGGACTGACATTACTAAGAATTAAAAACAACAATAAAAAAAGCCCTTTGAAGAAAAAAATGAGATTTTATGGTGAAGATATATAGTACTCCTGCTCCATTTTCTCAAGGAAAATTGCCTTCTTTTTATTCACTGAAATTTAAAAAGCAGGAAAGGGGAAGAGGAGTTAGGCACAGGCTGCGGCAGCCCGCATGCTGTGAAGAGCACATTGCGCTTGGGCCATCCCCAGGAGCTGCAGGGCTCGGCAAGGAGCACTCAGCTCCCCGTGCGAGGGCATAGCGAGCTTGGGCCTGCTCGCAGCCGGTCCCTGCATGCTGCCAGCCTGGACGACCTCCTCTCCCAAAGGAAACAAGGAGGCCTAGGAGAAGGGAAAGGCAGCTGGGCCACGGTTGTTTTAGCACGTGCGGCAATCTGCTGTCTTAGGCAACTGCTTATTTTGCTTAGGTCTAGAGCTGGTCCCGATCTGGTATCACTCAAGCCAGCTTACTCAAAATTAAAAAATAGCAAGTGGTTCTTGCTGCAAGGGTTTGCTTGGTTGCCCTGGAAGAGATTTTGCTCTATTTTCTTGATGTTTTTGATGGAATAATACCAGCCACAGATTAGAGTGTTGCTGAAAACATTGATCCCAGCCAATGTGGACCAGATTCTGGTCTTGGTTATGGTAATGCTGGTCTGAGGTTACTTCCCTGATTCTGGTAGGCTCACTGCTTTCAGCAGATCTGCACCAAACATCAGCTTTTTTATCTTCCAGTTTGACACGAACAGGTTTCTGGAACCTCACTGATCTGGCCTGGCTGCAGTGCAAGAGCCAGGTTTTTCCCCTGTTATTATCCTGAGCAGTTTCATAGTCTGCAAACACTCCCTTTGATTGCATTAAATGGGAGTCGAGTTGAATGTTACTTGTCCAAAGTCATTTTTTTCATATCTTGTCATATTCTGTGATGCCTACATCAGTAGCAAGACCATTGCAAAAAATCCTTTTCCACTGGGTTTAACTCAACAGACTAGGCTGCGAGATTCATGTCTTTTAGAGTGGAACCGACACTGAATGGCCTCGATGCACAGTGTGACATGGTAGGATCAACGCAAAATATGTGCTCATTCTTTCTCTGTCTTTCTGTTCTTAACCACTGTACCTTCTTTTCTCCTCCATAGGAAAAGGATATCTGCCTCCTAGATAACAACAAATTAAGACAAAGGTTAAAACAGCTTCAGGATTTGCTTTATTTATATGAACTACACCTGAAGGACATCTTGGAGAATACTTATCATAGAACAAGGAGTGAGCTATTCTCAGGCAACAGGAGCATGCAGCATGAGGTGCTTTTGCCCACCACCAGTGGAAATTTGATAGTCTATGACCAAGGTACATTTTGCAGTAGAACATGAGGAAATTTCAGCTGGCCAAAATGTTTATTTCTTCTTGCAGTGTCCTGTTTAGAGCTGTATTTTGTTTCTGCTCCTACTGCAAAAAAAGCTTTTTAGCTTTTGAAATAGTTAAGTGGGTTGTGTTTTCCAATGCAGTCAGGTGCATGAGAAGGAGAAGGGCAGACTGGTGGCCTTGGCACTAACAGACGTCCCTTGAGGCCAGAGTTAGCTGGTCCAGCTCTAGGCAGCTACCAGCCACATACCACACAGGCATCTGAATCTGGGCTTGTCACCTGGGACTCCCGGTGCAGAGAGGAACGGGCATCTCTAGGGTGTGATCTGTTTGGCCTGCTTTAGACATCTGCTTTAGGAAGAGATGGGTTGGGCTCTCCAAGTGCCCATTTCCCTCCACTGACTATAGGGAGCCCAGAGTGCCTAGGTGTGCGGCAGACCCTGGAACCTCTTTGGAGGAATCCAGCCTCCCCGTTTCTCTGTTCCTCCGTCACTTGTGCTGTGTAGCAACACGTGAACATGCTCTGTTCCTCTGCATCACTTTGAAAATACTGCCATAGCTGGTAATGTGGACTAATTTAACCTATGGCCAAGATTTTATCATTCATAGGCCTTAATTTTAAAATGGGAAGCACTGAGGTTCTGAAAGCCTCCTGAATACAACCCTGATATAGCCTGTCACAGGAACTTAGCCTCTTGCTTTAGGCATTTTAGGCCGTCATCCATTCCCAGGTTCAGCCCAGGTTATCTTCCTCATGGAAATTACCTGCTCTGCAACGGCAGTAGGATCTGCATAATTCCCAAAGACTGAGCTCTGAAGAGCCACTTCTTAGTCTGTACAGTGCCTGCTGACAGAGTCTGCCCTAGTCCTACAGCCCTCACTTGCCACTGCCTCAGGCTGTGCTGCATCTGTCCCGTATCTCCCCAACGATTTGGGAATGGCAGTAAAGCTCTGGAAGCTGCATTGTTAGTACTGTGCTGAACTGCTTGCTTTGGCTTTGCTGGGCTTGCAGAGCTATACACTGACCAGCCAAGTGTTCTTGTCCTGTATAGCCTCTCAGTGATCTCTTTTGTTGGCTGAAATGTACCTGTTTGCATGTCCCCTCCTTTAACAAACCAACACCGTTCTGCTTAGATTGCTCCGCAGTATTTAATAGGAAGAAGACTCAAAATGGGTACTACCGGATCAGGCCCAGAGCAGACCAAGAGCCTTTCCTGGTGTACTGCGACATGTCTGATGGTGGAGGGTGGACTGTAATTCAGCGGCGGAGTCACGGCAAGGAGAATTTCAACAGGTGGGTGGCTTGGTGTCCTATCAGCAAGGTTCTCAGTGAGGCCTCCAGCTCTCCCCACACTGGCTGTCAAAACCTAAAATTTGAGAAGATAAGTATGAAAGACTATAATGATGATAACTCTTGGTATTAGAATAATGAAGGGACAAGTATTTGTAGCATGAGCCCATTTTCAAAATGGGCTTATAATGCCTTTTCCACGGCTTTTCTGCTTTTGAATAATTGTGTACGGGACCCTTTGGGACCCTTTGAACATCTTATTCTTTCTTGTATCAAGAATCATGTTCAGCATGTTGCAAAATCTATTTCCTTATTCAGACCATTCAAAAAGATGCCAAACCATTGCTCAAGATTGTCCTTTCTCTATGCTAAAGCCCAGGGAGGTGACTAGTAGCATCACAGAAGAAACGTGCCCATGCAAATTAACTCACTAACACAGCATGCCTGCTTTTAGGGCATGTTTAACGTTGCAGTTACAAGCCTCCTGAAGTGAGCACAGTCCATTGCAGAGCTACCTCAAGCGGCTCTAAGGTAGCTTGCCCATAGAGTGGTACTTACCTAGCTACAGTAGTTCAGCTCTCAGCACGGGTGGAACAGGAGCCCAAAGCAGACCCAGATATTTTCCTTTTAACTTCCTCCAGATGCTTTTGTTTGCATCTTCTATTCAATTACTGCGTCACATCCAAGACTGTAATATGAGGAGGACTGCAACATTAATTTCCAACCAGGAATGAATTTGAATTTGACTGTGTGAGGAACAATATCATACGCTGTGCTGAAGATTTATATGACAGCTACCGTGTTCTCTTTCCACCTAGCTTCTGACCTCATTCTGCAAGCACTGCATCTGGCAGTTTGAAAGATTGATCCCAATATATGTGTGTGCACAGGTTTAACAGGCAAAGTAAGATGTGAGTTGTATTTACTTCTAAGGCACAGTGACAAATATCAGCTCAGCTGCGCTGAATCAGATACTTTTAGAAAACAGTGTCTAGAGATACAGCTGAAGATTTACTTGTTACCACAGCTGGGTACTACAAGCTGTCTAATCTACTCACATACTGAAATTGATATTTGTATCTCACTGCAGGAAATGGGATGATTACAAACTGGGATTTGGAAAATTCCAGGGGAAGAATGATGAATATTGGCTAGGCAACGAGCACATCTATGACCTGCTCGCTCGAGGTACGAGTATTTTCTCTCCACAGATTCTCTTCAAATTTGCATGACATACTTCATCTAACCACTTCATCTTTAGGAGAGACCTCATTAAAGATTGACCTGATGGACTGGCATGGAGAAAGACGTTACGCAATCTATGAAAAATTTCAGCTCAGGAATGAGCAGGTAAGAAATGGGGAGAGCAGTGATTTGCTTGTTTTATCAGTGATCGTGCAGCTCTGTGCAGCATCAGGTTTTAGTGTCAGGGCTGTAATTAAAGCTCTACAAAGCTCACCTGCTCTGGTTCCCTGGGATTCCTGGTTTGGTTGCTGGGATTCACGCTGAGGAGAGGTGGGACCATGTCACACTGCCTGCAGACTTGCTGTTGCCTAACTTCAGAAGAGCCTACCGCTCTTCCCACCTACTTAATAGGTGCCTACCAATAGTCCTGTTTCTGCACACGCCCAAAACTACCTCAGGCAATAGCTGTTGCCTAAGCCACCCTGAAATCCTAAAACAAAGGGTATATCTGCAAGATCCTCTGAGCATCTAGGAGAGAGAGGAAAAGATCCTGACTTTAAGGTAGTGATTAGGGCACTCAGCTGAGCACAGGGAGCTCTGGAATTCCCATCCTTATTCTCGCAACTGTTTCTGGAACGGATAGTCCATGTCTCTCCATGGGTGAGAACAGTCCTGGGAGCAGGGATCTAAGCCTGGAACTCCTTTCTCACAACTCCGGAGTGCCCAAACCACCAAGTTAGAGTCACGTGCACTCTCTTGCTAGCTCATGAACCACAAACTGCCTGCTGCACAAAGGCCAGCCCTCTGCCGTAGGGTGCAGAGGGTCCCACATGCGTTGCCTCCAGCCTCATGGTTAAACAGCCTTTCCTGAGGGAGGAGATAGGGCCTTCAACCTCTACAAGGAAACTTAACACTCTTCTCCTACTTCATAATTTGAGTGTTTCAGGCTGTCATAATAAAAAGCCACCAGCATAACAAAATCCCTCTACTCTACTTTAAAACAGTTAATTCTAATCAACACTTTGAAAGAATAGTTCTAAGATGCTATCTTGAAGAGAGGTATCTGTAGCACTATACTGAGTGCTACAGGCACAGAAAGCCAAAAGACAGCCACATCTCTGTATTTCCATGATTGTTTACTAGCTTTTAAACAGCTTCCTGCTCAAGGCAGGGGCTGTTTTCTTCTGGACTGCCTCTTTGCACACCATGATAAGTAGCTTGGCTACTCAAGGATTTGAGTTCCACTGTATGGACCAAGCCTACCTCCAACTTCATCACCACTCCAGAAATGTATGCATTATGTTCAGTTTGAAATTCAAGATTTCTTATGAAAAGGTAGCACAATTTGATTTTAATGCCTTATTGCTATTTTTTTCATAAATAAAAGTCAAATATGATGACAGAAAAAAAAAAACTCTTCACAAAAATGACTCTCAAACTCTTATCAAGTATCTCCTAAATTTCTTAGCTGTGCACAATGGAACTATTCATCTAAGTATTCCTACCAGGTCAGACCATTTAGCTAAAACTCAAATGGCTTCTAGTTCTTGGAGGAGGACTTGTTTTAGCTGAACCATGATCATTTTATGAAGGCAATTATTTGGCACAGTTTCCTCCAGTAGCGTTTGCTCTTGATGAGCCAGGAAGAGCCTTCCAGCTTATTGTATAGTGTATCAAATGGTGAATGAAAGACAATAAAACCTAAAGTACTTTGTACTGCAGCAGCAGTAGTTAGCAATCCCTTCTGGAAGTTTAAATCCAATAGTGATCTGCACTAGTATCACTAAGCATAGGGCCAAAAGTCACCCTTGACTTCAACACCATCATACCTTGGCATACACCGTCATACCTTGGCAGTGGATACAACGCACAGAGCAAATTTGATCTCAAAAAGGGGAGGGAGGGCAAAAAGAGCTGGTATCAAAGACATGTTTCATGCATCATTCTTGCAGGACAATTACAGGTTATGGTTTGGCACCTATTCTGGTAATGCTGGCGACGCTCTGTCTGGTGGGAGCAGTTTTGAAGAGCAGTGGTCAGCCTCTCACAGAGGGATGCAGTTCACCACATCTGACAAGGATCACGATCGATTCGTGGCAGGCAACTGTGCGCTAGAGAACAAGTGCGGTTGGTGGTTTAACAGGTATGGAAAAGAGTTGATTTCACCCAGCCCTCAGAAAGATGTATAGTGTATATTGGGTGGGTGGCAGTACAGCTGAGAGAACTTGCCTGCCTTACAGCCACTGGCGTTTTTCAGGGCAGGTTGCTATGTGCACATGCCACCTCACGCAGCCAGATCTGAGATGTTCATAAGAGATCCTCAGAGGAAAGCAGTCTGCTTCTTTCATTGTGAAGTAAAGCAGATAAGTTACAATCACTTTAAGAAAGAGGTCACTTTAAGAGAATAAAAGCATGGGAGAAATGACATGGATGGAGAAGAGCTTGACTGAAATTTCCTTGAAGTGCTTTGGATTATATCCCAAGAACAAAAACAATCGAAGCCACTGTAAAGTGAAGTGTGCACCAAGGATATTTCTCTGTTGTGGAGAGTGTCAAGGGGGTGAGCTACTCTTTACTATTCCTGCTGGTACTTTTTCTGGTAAGGCATGTCTAGTATATCAGCAATTATGGAGTCAGGTTCACCAGCCCTGGGAGTATGGACATGCTGCGTGCAGGAGTTTCTCTCTGCTCTAGTGCAGGATGAGCCTCTTCTTTGCTAAGGCCAGGCCCTCATCATGTATAAATTGAAGTCTTTGAAGCTACAAAAACGTACAAAAACGTACATCAGTAGTGGCTTTCAATATGATGAAAAGATTGCTGTGTTCTTAGGTGTCAATAGGTATGTACCATCTCTTGAGCTGGAGGCTACCAAATGGCACTAGGCAGCTCTGTTCAGGCAACTGAATCATGTCCACGGTCAATACAAATCAAGGGAGCCAGCAGATGGATTGAGCTGACCGTCACAGCTGCCACATATTTCTATGGGCTCTGCAGACTGTATTAACCAGATCTCCATTGGCTGCAGCGGGACTTTAGATACCCAGTTCAATACAGACAGATACATCTATGGACTGAATCCCACCCTTGATATTTCTAAATGTACATTGTGTGAATACTGACCTTGCTGTAAAGTCTTTCCACCTTAAATGTAATTTTTTCCGTTCTCTTTCACTGTTGCAAGGTGCCATTCCGTAAACCTCAATGGACGATATTACAAAACAGGAAGCTACAATGGATCCCACGACAATGGCATTGTTTGGTCTACCTGGCATGGGGTGTGGTACTCATTAAAATATACAGCCATGAAAATCAGAGCTCCGTTCTTTATTGACAGGGAGAGTGGAGATGGTGAGAACAGTCAGGACAGCTGAAAACTGCTGCTTTGAAAAGAAGAAATTATGGGCAAAAAAGAATTGTAGAAATCAATAACCCAGCCCTCTGCTGCTGCTAGTCACAAACCTGCATTGAGATAACTGGAGTTGGACCTGTTTCTACCAACTGAGGCTGAAGTCATGAGCTGTTTGAGCACAGCTAACCAACAATCTAATGGAAAATATACTGATCTCAGTCATGGAATAATCAAAATTTTCTTCTTCCATAATTTTCAGGATTTCATTGGAGAGTGTTTATAAGAAACTCTCCAGACCTCAGATGATCAAGCATGTTCTTTTAGCTCTCTGTACTCTTCAAGGGTTACATCTCTCTCATCTTGATTTCAGTGGTCATTGTCTGAGGTATGAGAGCATAAAAAAAGAAACAAAAGGGTGATGAGGAACAGGCCTTCTCTGGGGTGCCTTCATTAGGGTTTTACTTCAGATCAGGAGCATGTTTTTAAACAACTCTTCCCTGTTGTCCTCCATTCCCACCCTTCAGCCTCAGACAGTCCTGGAGCGTGTGAACTGGATTCCTTTTGGATAAAACCAAAGCAGATGATGCAGTCCAACTGCTGATGAGCATCCAGACTAGACCTACTTCAAAGTAAACACCCCAGAACAAAGACAACGTGGACACTGGCTGTCACTGTTAACAGCTTCACCCTGCAGATCCACCGCTATAGTGCACCACTACATGATAACGCAGACATAGCTGATGCTGCCAACCAGACTTTGCCCCAGATTTAGATTATGTGGATTTTACTAAATTTAAGATGAGCACAGATATTCCTAGGAGTTCGTAAAATGCTGTCATGATTCATTTGTATGTTCTTCTGTAACTTAACAGACAACTTGGAGTTACTAAAAGGAAAACAGAAGATGAAAAATGATGGAAACATAAGACACACTAATTTCACTGTCTCATCCGAGTGTAATGAAAAAGAAAGTAACACAAATGACTAAAAGAAATGGAATACTGAAAATTTCTTTTCTAAGAAGTTGTTAGTAACAGTTAAAAATGAACAGTAATATGAGCTTGACACAAGTCATTTAACTTTCATGCTGTAGAATGAGCCTATTTTTTCTGAATTATAATAATGGTCTTCTAAATTGGTAGTTCTTTTCCATTTATTTGCTTTTAGATCAATACATATTGTAATTTGTATTATATATCCATAAAGTGTGAAATAAACCCATCTGAGTAGGACTTAACACTTTTTATCTGTTTTTAAACAGTAGGAAATTGAACAGAGATTTGGGTGTAAGTCTTGCAAAAGCTCATAATATATTTCATTCTTTGTTGTTGTTGCTGGTGCTTTTGCACCTGCTGTCCTGGTTAGCTCAGAAGGTCTGTAAGGCAAGTTTAATTTCCATGCCTCAAGCATGTCCTGGAGACACTGTTGAGACGTGGATATTCAGCGTGAAATTTCGTCGCTTTGGTTCTTCTGCGCTGTCAACAAATAAACTTTGTTCACGTTTGTTCCTAGACTTCCCAATGACTGCAAAAGTGAACACCAGTGCATAGTGGGCCAGCACTCCAGTGAGTCGTGCTCCTAAAACCTGTGACCTGGCAAGACTGTGTGGCTTGCCTTCTTTCCAAGCATTAGCATTGACCCATGTGGAACTAGATTTACGCCTATGTCTCAGGAACGAGTGTGCCCTTGTGAAGAACTAATACAATTTTACAGTAGTAAAGTTTTAGCACAAGGTTGTAACTATGGATTAGGAGTATCTGCTTAAAGAAGGCATCAGTCAGCACACAAAATAACAACGTTGTGGCTGATGAGTATCCAGGGCAGTTAAGGACACTTTTATCTAGGCAGAAGGCAGACAAGTGTGAGCGCAATAAGCTCTTGCCAACTGCCTCCTAGCAGATCATGCTCAACCTCGTTCTTCAGTAGAGGGCTGAGGAAGCATATGCCAGGGTAAACATTACAGGCTGGTATTCAGTCCGACTGCATGCTGGAAATCAGCTGCAGCAGCAAAGGGCCAGCACTAGTGGTTTGATAGCTCACTGAGCAGCCCCGTAGCCCATCCGATTACTAGAGCATCAAGCATGGGCTAAAGTCAGTAGGGCTTAGTCAGACATCTGCTACACAGTCCGATTCCCCAAGAGTGATGAGCAATGTAAAGCCACCTCTGTCCAGAGTACAGAGCCTGTTTCCCTCTGTGTCAATACATAAAGGTATGGGTATGGGTAAAGGTATGATCGCCTTCAGCACCAATGTAAATGTTACAGGCTTTTTTTCTCTCTCTCCAAACAACATGGGGGCCAAGATCTGGCAGTCTGAGAGAGTAGGAGGTCTCACTCACTCATTGCCATCTTAGACTTAAGATGTACCTAATCTGGTCTGAATGCAGGCCAATACTGAGAAAAGGCTGCAGAAAGAGGTATCTGGGTTGGAAAAGGCTTCCCCTCCTCTGCTCTACCTGCAGCACATGGGAACTCCCCACAGAGGTGCAGGGTGTTTCAGAACTCTCTGTTTTCCTAATAAACAGGGTAAAACACAACTAGTCGAGTACAAGAGCTACAGCCAAGTACCAATAAATCCCACAGAAGGTTATAGAAATGCTTACTGAATGTTGTTGTGCAGTACGTTTGATCTCCTCTGTTTCTCCAGGGTCTCCTGCATTGAGAGGCTCACCAAGGCTGTAAGCAGATCTTGTAGCAATGTAGTTCTACAGCTGACAGATCACTGCTTCAGGCTGAATGTGCTTCATACAGCGGAGTTTCCCTTAGCACAGGGGTGGTAAGTAACCAAATCAGTAATTGCTTTAGAGGCCTGATTTTCAGCTCACTGAAGACAATTTAAAGACTTGTTACATTTCATTAGCTTTGGATCCGTCCTCAAGCACGGACATGTTCTAAAATACTTTAAACAGCATTTTAAGCTGATAGTTAATGGCAATATGTACCTGGTAATAACACTGCACCAGGCCAAAGGGCTGAACTTCCGCAACGCAGCATGCTGGAACAGGTACTGAGAAAGAAGCAACTTGCACCACACTGCAAGTCAGATGCAGCATTCTAGCAGCAGCTGGAAAATGTTACTCATCAAAAACACTGTTAAAACTGTGGAGTTTAACCATGGAGCCAAACACTGAGATCCTTGTTCCTCCTAGGCTATTGCAATAAGTCCTACCACTGCGTGCCTTTGCGAGTTATCTGTGCGTACTGTGGACACGTAAGTGGGGTGCCAACTGACTAAAGCACAACCTGATACTGCTCTCCCTTTTAAAATTGCTGTTGGTTTGGAGAAAAAAAAAGTATGAGTTTGGAAATATATCTTTCCACTCTGAAAGCCAGTTTTGAGAAAGATAATAGACTACAGCCCAAGGATTAAGCACATGCCACTTTTGCCTTCACACCCAAGGTGGGTTAAAAGGCATGTAGGGATCAGCTCTTTACGGGAGTGTTGTTTTAAGACTAACAATTCTCTGCCTGTACCTATCTTCCCTCATTCAGTCCTCAATTGCCACTATTTCTTTTCTGTCCGTTAGCATTCCTTGCAAACTCTCTGAAAAGATAGATGATTATTCTAATACGCGGCAAGCAAAGTGTCTGTGTCACTCTTGCTGGCCTGAGCTCTGACTCTGTTGTCGGCTGGAGTTTTTATTCCAGATCTCAATACTTGCAGCAGTGCATAATTACCAGTTTTTAATCTCTGATTTTAAAGCATAAAAAAATCAATGTAACTTTTGTACTTCACCATAAGGTTCTCCAGGAATCATCAGATGTTGTCAAGCCCTTTTCCTTTTTGTTTGCAAAACAGGTATTCATCAAATAAATGTGCTGTTCACTGGTTTTGTTCATAATTTATTATGAGCTTGCTGTAGTAGTATCACTGTCCACTTGTTTACACACACACAAAAGAAAATGTTTAATAAAGGCAGATGATTATAGAAAGGATGGGAGACTAAAAAGGTCTCTTTCACAGGGGTTTAAACGCGCCAGTAACATTTCTGTAAAGGTTAAAAGCTGTTAATCAATTTTCTTTGGCCTTCCCAGTACCATGCCTTTTTCTATTAATTTCCTGCAGCTATTTGTACATTACTGTGAGGTTTTTTATATAAATATTGGCAGAAAGAAAATATCAAAGACTTGAGAAATACCCCCTCAATTTTAAATGCACACCAAGTAATCAGTATCAGTTGTTTGCAGCTTCATCCAACCAGCTAAAAGAACATCACTAGATGACTTATTTGAGCAATTACAACCAATCAACAAAGCTCCAGAATGTCTATGAAAGAAACAGTGAAAACTGCTCACAACTTGTGTTCTGTGTTTTCAAAATAGGAACTGATTCGCTAATTAGTACTGTTGTTTGAGGATACTGGGGAACGGATGTTTTAGGACATCATAATCTACTAGTAGAAGGTCCATAAGGTGAAAATGCTAGATCAATAGCATTCATTAAGGATGGTGAACAAAACATGACAATTATTTGCAGTAAAGCCTACTGGATTATTCCTGTGTCAAGCCTTCATTATCATGTGCTTTCCCATGGTATTATGCAGGTACTGTATGCATACACATACACAAAATAATTATATGGAAGCACTTTACAGTTATTAGAAAGGAATGTGTTCCCACAAGTCAGACCTTGGGAATTCCCTCCTTATCCAAATGGAGGGAACATAATCCCATTGCTCCTTCCATCAGAAGCCAAGAGATTTTGCAAATCCTCTCTTGCATGTACCCCTCTTATAGGGTTACAATGATTCACTCAGATCACCAGCTTCTCTATACTTAAAGTACTTGTTTCATCCTCTTCATTTGAGCCAAAATACCCAGGGAGGTCGATCATTTGTTGCTCTGCCTCAGTTAAGCCAAAAGTAGTGTTATCATAAAAGGCAAATTCGGGGTCCAGTGGGAAGCTCTGGCACTTGTCCTTTCGGTACTGGACGGGGCTTATAGTCAGGCCTCTCTGGTAATTGTCTTTGCCAGCTGCAGCTGCCGTTTCTTTCCTCCATGCACCTTTGGGGTTAGGTGAAGGGCCCTTCTTATTTCGGCTGGGCTCGGGCTTATCAGCTGTTTTTTCTTGACTGGCAGGCTGGCGGTCAACGATCAGATCTAACTTCTTCACTGGGACACATGCCCTTTGATGGCATTTTGTGCCATGGCCTTGTGGTTCACATGGCAGCACAGTGCTATGGGACGGATCCAGCTTTTCAGAAGCTGGATTAGCATTTCTCAATTTTGGCCGCATCCTGTCTTCCAAACCCTGATCCCACGTTCTGGTCCTGGAGTTATAAAGAGGAGTCTGTCGTGGGGTGAGGGTGGACATGCTTCTCTCTCTGAATGGCCTGGCCTTTTTAGTTTCATGGAAACTGGCTGTTCTTCTAAACTGTGGGTTTCTGTGACAGCTCCTCTCTGACAACTCTCCTCTGTTATCTTGGTGTTTGAAATGAGCTCTTCTTATCAAGGTTTGGGTAGGGCTCACTGCAGGATTGGCCTGTGAGAATGGAAAATCCAGCCTAGGGTTAGAGCTTTCCCCTAGGAATTTGGGCTGACTGGCTGATTGGTCCAGAAATGGAGATTTGATCCTAAATTTGTTTGCTGCTGCCTCTTCTTGGTTTTCTGTGCTCAAGGGAAGCATCGTGGTGGCACCAACAACTGTGTCCGTGAGGGGATTCTGAGAGACGTGGTACACCTTGGTGGTCTCCGTCAGGCCTTTCTTCTTCATCTCTTTCAGCTGCTGCTGGGCGAGGCGATAACTGAAAATCGGAGGGATTATTTTTTGGGCATTTGGCTGAAAATTCTCACTTCCAGAGGCATCATCTTCTTGGGCAAGTTGGAGGCTTCGCCTGTAGGTCAGAGGAATGTTCACAGGGGCATCACCTCCTTCAGTGAAGCTGTCCCGCTGCTTGTTGCTTTGGCAGATGTTCTCTTCATCAGAGTTCTTCCGGAAGCTGGGGGAATGGATGGAGTTTCGACGTACGGCAGTGCTGCACTTCGGAGCTCTGCAGAGCTTCCTCCACAGTGTGATGAGAACGGTGGCAAAGATGATGAACAAGCATAAGGAGATACCTGTGATGGTGACTATATTATTTGCTTTCTGGTCTTCTCCTGGCTGGACAGAAGGTGGGATGGGAGACTGGATAGCTGTAACAAAGAGCAAACATGTCTATCATTAGACTTGCACCCTCATCAATTCTTCAGTATCTTAGGAGAGCCACTTTATTACTAAGAAAAAGCAACCAACTAATATAGTACAGTAAGTTGTCTGCCAGTAAGATTTTCTCATTGTAGATGACTTCTGTCAGAGACACAGAAGGATTGATCACCTGCTTGAGCAGGGGGGTTGGACTAGATGATTTCCAGAGGTCCCTTCCAACCTCAATCATTCTGTGATTCTGTGATCACTTTGGATTGGCAGAAACAGATCTACTTGCCTTAAATCAAGGGTCCAATAGACCTTTTCAGTGTTATTGTTACCTTTGCCTGTTCTGCCCGTTCTATAAGGCACTCCTAAATATATGTAAAATGCGATAATTATAGTCCAGGAATCACTTTAAAAGTATTTTATGATGGCTTAAGTTGGCGTGAGAGTTACTGGATTGTGAGCTCTGGATTTTGAAGAGAAGAGGGACAGCATTACCAGTGGAAGTGTAACTTTTGCAAGGAATGCTCTGAGAGTGCCTCCTTCACTGCTGCCCAGTGGTGCAGGCACATCACGGTTTCAGAGGACAAAACGTTCTCCCTCTACAGTAGGTTCTTAGTGGAGAAAGGAACTGATGTGGACCCCTTTCTTTGACTCAGAGCTATATGACAGCCCCAAGATGCCTGAAAAATCCTGCCATGGGATTTACCTGAATCTTCATGCCATTTTGAGAGCTCAACATCAGCATAAAGAATGTAACAGCAGCATTGCCTGGTGAATCTTTTTCCTTAGGATTCCTAAAATTTACAGGTCCATTCAGCCTGCAGCCACCATGCCCAGAGCACAAAGCAGTGCCATTCTGAGGGTCTGAGTTGGGGAATGGATATGCTGATCTCAGGGGAGAAAACAACACCAGCATTTGCCCTGTTCTGTACCACTGGAGCAGAGCAACTCATTCATTGCTTATCCTTCTCTCAGTCCTGTTTGCCCACAGCTATTTCCTAAAGGCTTAGCTTTCTATCTGTAAGGCACATTGTGTTGCATCATTTCGAGTACAAAGCAACCAGCTAGCAAGCAGCAAAGCCCAAAACAGGACTTAGTTTTGCTTCTCTCTTCACCCTATCTGCCTCTGTCCCCAAACTGCGTGCTGGTTTCAGTTATTCAGCCATTTGCTCCATCTGCTGGACTAATGACTGCAAATGTAATTATGCCAAAATTGGCTGTCTTGGGGAGGTGCAGACAGTCTGGTGGGGGAGGGGGGAAGGAAGACACTCCCAGCCCAAGGTCAGGCAGTACATGAGGCCTTAAGATCAGTGTGCACTCACTGCTTGAGCACCGTAAGATTTAAAGAGATGAAATCACATTGGTATAATTCTATAGAGGAAGCAGCCTGACATGGGAACAGGAGGATGAGAAACCATGTGAAAGACAGAAGCAAGCTAACTTCTCCAGATGATGCTATGGCAATGGGTGCCGACACCGGGCTCTGTACATCTGAGTTTCCTATATATAAACCCTCTTTTTTTAACCAAACACCCTGCTGGAATTTGAGGATTGTCTGGATCTGCTCAGTGCTATCACACGGTATCTCTAACCAGACCGCTTAAGGCAAATCCACTGCATATGCACAAGTCTGCTGCCATTTCCAGGAAGCACTGTACCTTCTGGGAAGCACCGTACCTTCTGGGAAGCACCGTATGTCTTAGGCTTGTTGCACACCTGTACAGAAAGACCGATGCTTCCGGGAAGCACTGGAGAAGCCTGTTAGTTCTGCATATGTAAAGTGCAAGGTGCACACACAGGTCATATGTCCAGCACACACACAGGAGACCCAACACTTCCCAAAAGCGGTGGGCATACTGCAGGGACCTTTCACTCTGCACACATGGATTTCCCTCTAGGGAGTCTCAGACCACAGGAGCCCTTGGCACTGGAATTGCTCTTTGAGCTCCAGAAAAGTACGGTAAAACTGGCAAAAAAGGAGCCAAGTCAAATAATCCAGTTCTGTGTTTATGGAGATACCCCTACAGCAGGTAACTAGAGGGCACAGAAAAGCATAGCTGGATATCAGCTTTAGAAAAACATCAACTACACCACCGATTTTCTCTGGTGTCAACACACAGACCCTCAGCAGTCTGACAGAGATCGGCAGAGAGAGGGCAAGCAGCCCTAGAGCAGGTCATTAGCTTTAAACTGGGCCCCTAGACATCTAAATTGTTCCTCTCTCCTTACACTTGCGGTTTTGTGATATAAGCAAACCCACACGGCCAGCATTTTCTAGTCATTAAAACATCAAAAGTCTTAACAATAAACTATTAAAATATTCCAAGTCCTGAGCGAACACTGACAACATGCAAAGCCTGGCTCAACAGAATATTATTTTTAATATTTACCCTTGACCTGACCTTCAATACTAACCCATTTCTTACAGTGCTCCACAGTACTTTCCAGGCCTGTCTGCATACTTCTGAGGCTTTCATTCAACAAACATCTTGAAGCTGGTTCAAGCCAACACCTCCATCAAAAGAGCAATCCTGCCTTTTTCCTGCTTCAGCTACATGTTCTCCCCCTCTGCTGTCCTTCCTTTTCAATGGCACAAGCATT